GGGCCCCGGCGCGGGGGACGGGGCAGCCCTGCCCGCAGTCACACCTCTGTGGTTTCTCACCTGGAAGCGTCCCCGGTGTGAGGCAGGGCTGTGCTCGGCGGGAGGCTGCAGGAATGGCTGGTCCCTGCACGCCGCGCGGTGTGCACATCCCGCAGGAATAAGGGGTTGTCATCGGGATTCTCCTCGGGGCGCCTCTCCGACACCACTGTCTTCCTGGAAATCCCACGTATTCAGCATGCAGGTTGTGGACCTGCAAAGCCAGGCAGAGCCCTCTGTTAGACCCTCGGAGGCCTTGTAGCTGCTGCAAGGCATCATACAGTCGCAACAGAGATCTGTTGCTGTGACAAGCATCGAGCTTTGCTGCACGGGCATCAAACAACACCTGTGCCCCGTGCCTTGGAGAGGGAGGGTTCAACATGCCCGGGCTGTATCAGATGGCCAGAAAACGTGGCAGGACTCTTGCCTTGTTTACTGGTTTTAGGGCCAGACACAAGACAGTGCTACCAAGTGATGGTGGAACCTCTCTGTTTCAAACCCCACCAGTGTCAGGTTGGTTCCCTTGGTGGGAAGTACCCATCACAGATCCAAGAGTTTCTGTGAGCTCTTAAACACCAGCTTGCCCCCTCTTATCACAAAGACCTTGTTTCTTTGGTGAGAAAGCTCATGGGTACCTCTGAAGAAAATTTTCTTGCCCTAATCACTGTCCACCTCTCTTAAGCACTCCTTGTGAGAGTTGAGAAGCCCCCCAGTAGGGATCTACTGTTGATAACTGCTCAGGACAGGGGAGTGTGTGTAGGAGAGGACAGCACTGGCGTAAAAACTCCTGGCTTTACAGAGGAGTGGATGGGAGGAGGAGGTGTTCAGATGCATTCACATGCAGAGAAGCAGAAGGCAGCAGGCTCAGCTGAAGGTTGTTTTTAAGAACTGGTTCAGACATGCTACAGTGGCACCTGGTATCTCCCACCCAGCCAAGCTTCTGGGCCTACCTAGATGCTCACAAGGCAGCAAAGTCTTGCTGGTTGCAGTAGGGTTAGCACTTGTAGGTACATGCTAGAGTTTGGGGGTGGATACTGGCCCAGTTTCTTGTCTCAGTGGTCTCATAAGCAGGGTCACAAGGTGGAGGTAAGAGATGGGACACTCAAGCTGGAAAAGTTGCCTATGGGGAGAGCGGCAGCCTGGGTGATGCACCCTTAGCTGCTAGGCATCTCCAACTGACACAGCTTGTCACCCCGTCTCTGATACACCATTCAGTTGTGTCTGGCAGACATGCAGTTGTCTTGGACTAGCTGAGGGGGCAGTGGGAAGTGGGAAAGAAGCTCATGCTTTCATGTCTAGTTCTGGAGACTGCGAGATCTAGCAACATCTTTGCTCCAGAAATTAGTACAGGTGAATAGCTTTTCCAGCTGCTCCTCAGCCACGTGGCATTTCAGCAACTCACAGCAAAAAATCTAGCAGTTTTGCCAGGCCTTGATCTCTGTGTGAGACAGTCCAGGCCACCAAGCAGCCCGCAGCAGAAACCCCTGCTGGCAGAAGTGCCTTAAAACTCAGCAGCAGCCTGTGTTAAGCCAGGGAATGTGTTATTCTTGGTTGATCCAGGCCCCACACGGGCAGAAGTTATGAGAGAAATGTAGCCAGGCAGCTGACATCCAACAGCCCTGCCCATCCTCAGCAATGTACAAGATATTCTAAGCCAGTAATTTTATATCACGTTGGTGCTCTTGGGTAACAAGGCCTGGCTGTTACACAAGCCTTGTGCACAGCCTGGAAAAGTTTTGTCTTATCATAGAATCATAGAATAATTTGAGTTGGAAAGGACCTTTAAAGGTCATCTGGTCTTCCCAATCCCCTCTGCAGCCTGGCCAGATGATCAGCAATCCTGATACAGCAGAGGGTCAGCTGCTGTTACAGGGTAATCCAAGGGCACCCCGAAGTATTGAAGCATAAAACCACACTGCCACCTTTCCATATCTCAAGTGTACCCCTCCCCATTTTCAGGCACTGCAGAAGAGCAAGGAAAAGGTAAGGCAGCGGTCAGACAGTGATGGAGAGGAGGTGAGTGCAGAGCAGTGCTTCCCAGCTCTTGAAACACGTGAGCTCTCATTGCAAGGGTAGCAACAGCAGTAGCCAAAAGCCTGAACTTTGCTTCCAGAAGGAATCAGCTGTTGAGCTGAGCAAATCGTGATGTGATGCAGGGTGGGTGGAAGAAGGGAGGGAGGGAGGGAGAGCCAAGCCTGACACGGGCCAGCACGGGTGGGGGAGGCTCTCACAAAGGCCTTGGAGGCAGGATGGAAATGACAGTAATTACATAAGAGCACTTGGCGAGCATCTGGCTGGAGTCAGCTGGGCCCCACCAGCCTGCTCTCCCTGCACTGCTAACCAGGAGCAGCTGAGGATACGGACAATCCAACGCAGGACCCCTCCAGAGGGGAACAGAGGTAAGAGGTCCTCCGCTTGCGACGCTCTTTGAGAGGGGGGGCAGAGGGGTGGGGAAAAGGGGAAAGGGAAAGCAGCTGCAGTGGAGGAGAAGCAGCCAGGAAGGGGAAGAGAAGGAGCTGTTTCTCTGCTTCTCGGTGTTGATGATACCTTTGCTCCAGAGGTTTTGGTGGGGGAGGAGCCATGAAGGATAAGTGTGTGGGTGTTTGTGTGTGTGTAACAGGGCAGGGGATCCACATGTGCAGCAGGGCATCAGAGCTGTACAGAGGGGCTGGAAAAGGGAGAAAACATCAAAGTCATTTGCTTCCTTCTGTACCTGTGGTAGAGAAGGTTAATAGGATGGAAGCAGTCACTGGGAAGAGCCAGGATTTACCCCCTATGGGGGGGGGGGGGTTGCAGGAGAAGAGAGGAAATGTAGAAGGAGGAGGAAGCAGCTGCTTTTGAGCAGGGATTGTTGCAGTCCAGTGTGGCCAGAGCTTCCCTGGGCTGCTTCCAAGACAGAGTGTTTGATGAGGCAGAGGGAAGATTGTTGATCACACAAGGTGCCTTCAGGCTTGAGTTACACCTAAAAGTGTGGCTGGCACACTTTTTGAGTTATTGGGTTATTGGATAGCATTCTCAAAACTCGTATCTTTGAGCACTTGGCCATACAAGCCAAAGCCTCCTGCAAATGTGGCTGCCCTGGCAAAATGTTGCTGGTACAGCCAGTTCCCTTCAGGAAGCAGGGCAATATTACCCTGGCAGATGTGTCTCTGCTGGCATAAACTGCTGCCCTGCTGGGCAATGCCACCAGTGCATGTCTTTGCTGGCTCCCTGTGGATCCCTATTCAGCTAGACAAGACATTAAATACAAAGTCTTGCTCACTGCCCACTGTTAGCTGTTCTTGCACTCTAATGAGACAAAGGCAAAGGCCCCAGCTGATGAGATTCTCCATGAAGAACGTTTGCTTTGTTGGGAGCAACTTGGGAGTACAAGTAGAAATGTGGGACAGAAATGAGGACAATAGCCTCCCTGCTACTTGGAAAGATAGAGGAGGCCAGACATAAGGCTGAGAGCTGCAAAAGGGGATAATGTCATGTTTGAAAATAAGTCAGGCAGGAAAACCTGAGGGAGTGAGGCACGGCAATGTTTCTGATGGGACAGAGGAACTTTGTCTTCAGTGTCAATCTCTAAGTTTTCATGCACCCCAGAAACTTTATTGGCTTTCAATAGTACTGTCAGCTGCCAAAATTCCCACCAGCAGCAGGCAAGAGTAGACAACACAACTGATCACAAAAACCTGCTTCTGTCTGCTGACAAGGCTCCATTAGCAAGACGTGTTGCCCTAACCGTTCCCCCTCTCATTTTCCAGCAGGGGAAACTGAGGCACAGGCAGATGTGGGAGACCTGCAATGGGTCTCATTACATGTCAGTGCTGGAGCCTGGCTAGAGGAACTCATGAATACAGCAGTAAATTTCTTAGTCTTCTTGCCGCCCCAGCTGGGAGACATGTTCACTCCATGTTCATTGAGCTCCAGGCTGACAGACAGCCTGAGAATAGCTCCAGGCCTCACAGCCCCCCTTCCTCCCTTCCCTCCAGCTTGCAGCACATATTTTCCCAGAGTTTTCCGCTTGCTTCTCCAGTGGTGCTGGGGTCCTGCCAAACGCCAGCCACTCTGGGAAGTGGGGCCTCCCATTCCAAAACCAAACAAATGGGAGAGGAAAACAGGAAAAAAATGTCCAAGCACACATAGACACTCACAAAACCCTTTCACCCTCAGAAACCTTGGAGCCTTCTCCAGCTCCTCTTGGAAATTGCAGCAGTGCTGACTTGGCGCTTCTGGTGCCCGCAGAAGAGAGCTATTGTTCATCCTTACTTCTGCCTCCAAAAGATAGATATGTGCACCCCCCAGGGTATAAATTCCCAAATCCAGTTTTGCTGCAGGGTAGGATCCCCAAAATCCTCTTCCCAAGATTCTGCAGTGTAAGAAAGTCTCCTGCCTGTCCCCTTCCACACTCTTCCCCCCCAAATACCCTTCATTCCCAGGTTCTGGTGCAACCACAGAGTGCTCACCCCAGCAGCACAAGCACATCAGTTGGGGGCAAAGATCATGGCCAGGGTTTGCTCCAAGTCCTCAGCTTTTCTGGCAGGTGGCTTCCCACTTCAGGCCAGACACACCCTCCCTCCCCTATGAACTGCTCAGCCTGGGACCTAACTGTGGGATGTGATGGGGGATGATGTATGTGTACTAGAGTGCAAGGCCTGGGGCCCTGCCCAGGAGGAGGGGATGACCGGTGAGGGGAAGAAAACTGATGCCTCTCCCAGTTGGCAGATGAGCATGATAGAAATATCATGCCTGGAGCGAGAAGCCACAGTGACACGCAGAAGAAGCAATGCAGGGCAGAATGAAAGATGTAGTTTGGGGACTCTGAGTGGGAGAGGCACAGCTGGGGAGAGAGCATGGCCAGACAGGTGAAGGGTTAATGCACAGGACAAGGGACTGGTGAAAGGAGTGAGGGCAGAGTTCTGTACCATCCCACCTGAAGGGAAGTCTGTCTCTTGCACTGATGCACTCACCTTGCCCATTCTGAGATGCTCAGGGAGGGACACTGCTCAGCTGCCTGCCCACCCTTTGCATGGGGTGCAAATCTGTACTACCTGCATTTTGCTGACCAGGGCTAGGCTGTTTGGAAGCAAAAAGGCAGAAAAAACAGCAAACAAAAATATAGATAAGGAAAAGGCACTACCTAGGAAATAGTTAAAAGGCACTGAAACGCAAGCCTCAAGCCAGTTTGCAGTGGAGAGCGCCCAAAGCCAGGGAGGGAAAGGGAGGGAGAGGAGGGGGGAGGGAGGAGGTCCAATCCCAGCTTGTGCACCCAGCCAGCACTGAGCAGTGCCTGTGCCAAGAGCCGGCTTTATTAAAGCCATGGGCCCGGAGGCTGGCTTTGCAGGCGGAGGGGAGCCCTGGAGCAGGGGCGGGGAACCAAAGAGGGGAGCCCTCAGCCTCTGGGGTGAGCTGCCATGCTGTGCTGGGGTGCAGGCAGAGGGAAGGGGGGCAGAGGCTGTGAAAGGGGCTTTCTCAGCTTGTTTGCATGTCGATCTTTCTAAGCATACTTCTCTGAAGGCTGCCTGCTCTGAGCTTTGCTTCCTTCACACTCTGCAGTGGAGCAGCTGCCCTATGGTCTGTCTGCAAAGGCCTGCACTGCCGGCTCCTCTCAGAGGAGGCAAGCAGCCCTTTGGGAAGGTGCTGGGGTCTGGCTGAGAATACAACTGAGCATTGGTGGGAGGGGGCTGAGGCACAGAAAGGGATGGGAATTGGTAGGGGGAAGGAGGGGGCTGAAATTAAGTTCCCATCCCACAGGAGAAGGAGCCTCTCTGCAGAGAGATGTGGGTCAGACTCCTGTTGGGACAGGGGTATCATTGGATTAGACTCCTGTAAAGAGGTGATACCTAGTGACTGGAGGACTGGAGAAGGTTTTTACAGCCCTCCCCACAGTCAGGAGCCTACCAGAGCATGTTTTTTCTAAAAGGGCCGTGTGGTTTGCCATGTTTCCTTCCTCTATCCCAGCCTGGGAACTGAACCTTCTAGTGGCTCCAGTGGTTTGCCTAGTGAGGGCCAAGCCTTCTTCCAGGGTTAGCACCTAGCCTCCATTTGTCTGGGCAGAAGGGCATGGGGCATGCTCTTGGCCATGTGGTTGCTACTCAGATTGCAGCCTTGAACCTTCAGGGTCTGCAAATGTGTGAAATCCCTCCACAGGACAATGCCATTTTATCCCACTGCTGGCTCCAGCCACAGAAAGATGTTTTGTGATCTGTGGTCTGTCCCCCATGTCCTCCCCTTCTTATACCTCACTCTGGCACTTACTTGTATCTTCCTAGGTCACCATGGACATAATTTACCTGCGCACACCCCTGGCCTTCCTTCTTCTCCCTCTTATTGTACTTGGGGCACCCACTGATGAACCCAACCTCACAGAACCAGCCCCTGGTGCTTGCAAGCGCTGTTGTGACCCACTGGACTCTTCCACAGATGCCCCACCGCTCCCTCTCAGCCACCACCACTTGCCCTACCCAATGCCAGAGGTCCGTCCCTATATCAACATCACCATACTGAAGGGTAAGTGCCCATCTTGGCCCTGGGATGCCAAGGCCTGCTCAGGGACTGGTGGCACTGTAGTGGAGGTGACAGCTGGGTTGCTGGCATGCTGGTCATGCTGACAGACTGCCAGATGCCATCCTGAAGCATATGTGCCCACACACACTGTGCCCATGGTTTAGATGTTTTGTGCTGTGATCAAGAGTAGCCTGTGAGGAGGGAGGTCAGTGCACATCTGTGCTGTGACCTCTGTGTCTCACGATGCTGCCTGCGACAGAGTCCTGTAGTGCCTGAGGGAAGGCACAGTCTCTATCCAGCTACAAAATAAGCATGTTTGGATGGTAGGCATTGGCACTGGGGAAGTCTGTGGGAAAACCTTCTCCAGCTCACAGGTCACATGCATTTTGGAGATGGTGGAGGGCAAGGGGAGGCAGCAGCTATTTGCAAGCACCTCCAGGCTAACTGGCAGTAACCTCCAGCTCATTCCACACTGCTGTGGCTGGCTTGGCTAATGGGAAAAGGCTCCCTGTTTTAGATCAGCTCCTCCCTTCAGGCCTCCCCTTTTAGTCTTTGCTGTGGGAAAAAGCCTGTTCCCAGCTGGATCCTGCTCCACTCGTTTATCATTGCTTTGTGGTTCCTTTGGGCTAGCTGGGGAGACTCTCCCCCTTCCCTGCCCAGCCTGGAAATAGCTGCAATCCATCAAAGCTCAGAAGCCTGTCTGGGGCAGATGGAGGCCTGGTCTAGAGTTGGGTGTTGCAGGTGTACCTGCAATACCACTCCAGAGATGGACAGGAGGGAAAGAACAAGGTCCAAATTTGGGATGCTGTCACTTGTGCTGGAGGCTCCTCTGACCCCCATCTCTTCTTTCTATACACAAAGTACGTCCTGGTGCTGCTCTTTCTCTGTATTGATGCCTGCCCAAGTGTGTGAGAGGGTAGAATTGCAGTATTAATTATAAAGGATGCCCAAAAGATGCTGGTATTGTCAAAGTACCAGTCCTCTAACTTGCACCGCCCCATCTGCCAAGTCTGACTTGGAGCTTGTGCCTCTGACCCACCTCACTGTCTGTCTCTAGTCATATTCTCCCACAGGCATTAGCACTTCTTCCCCTTCTCCAGCCTACAGCAAGAACGGTGTGCACACTGCATGGTTAATTGGGTCATAGGTGTGTAGGAGGGCAGGTGCTGTGATGGAGGTAAAGGAGTGTGGAGGAGGAAGAAGAGGTCAAAACCCCCAGTGGTACTTTACACTCTCATCCCTCCCAGGCTGAAGTCTCCTAGGGACAGGTCCTACTGCCTCCAGCAAGGCTGTATCATGTGATGAGCAAGGAGTTCATAAGAGAAGGTCGTACTCAGCTCGACTAGCTCCTTTCCCCTGAAGCACAATGATATTGTGACCCTCACGAGCATTCCATCTTCTGACACTGCCCCTTCCTTGACCATTCCTATGCCTCCTCATTAGGTTTTCTCACCACCACCTTCACGTCTCCCTCTTATCACACAGGAGTTTTGTCCTCTGCTTCCTCTTGCAGGAGAGAAAGGAGACCGGGGAGAGCCTGGTATGCCAGGGAAATGGGGCAAAGAAGGACCACGAGGTGAGAGAGGTGCCCAGGGCCAGAAAGGCAGTAAAGGACAGATGGGCACAGCAGGAGACCCCTGCAAGCATCAGTATGCTGCATTCTCCGTTGGTCGCAAGAAAGCGCTGCACAGCAGTGAGGGCTTCCAGGTCTTGATCTTCGACACTGTCTTCGTCAACCTCTACAGCCACTTTGACATGTTCAATGGCAAATTTTACTGCTACGTAGGTGGACTCTACTATTTCAGCCTCAATGTCCACACCTGGAACTTTAAGGAGACCTACATGCACATCATGCACAATGAAGAAGAGGCAGTCATCTTGTATGCCCAACCCAGTGACCGCAGCATCATGCAGAGCCAGACCCTCATGCTGGAGCTTCAGGAAAATGATGAGATCTGGGTGAGGCTCTACAAGCGGGAGCGGGAGAATGCCATTTACAGTGATGATGTTGATGTGTACATCACCTTCAGTGGGTACCTGGTCAAGCCCAGCCTTGACTAATTGCCACTCCTCCTCCTTAGAGCCTCTTTGGCCTTTTCTTTCTTCCTTCCTCTCTTTCTCTCTTTACTGCCCGCAACCACTGCAGATCACTTGGAAATGGGCCTGTCAAGTCTCAGGCACTGAGTGTGAAACTTGCCGCACTGGCTTCCACCTCACACTCTCTTGTAGCCAGGCCTGTATCTGTCCACTTACAGCATGATACTACCATCTTTTTTCCCCTCACCTCGTGAGCCCAATTTAGGCTATTGGCTTATTCTAAATCTGCCAGTAAACTGTGTCTGGCATTTTGGGTCCTAGAGCAGGAGGAAAGTCAAAATGCTGCTCCTGGGGATGTGTCCATCCTTGGGGCTGCATACACAAAGGACTCTTGTAGAAAGGGCTAGAAAGTCCCCACCACCCAGGTGCATCCTGGTTCCTCTCTGTCCCAACTAGACATGTTGGGTTTGCAGCCTGCAACATGGCCTTAATGTCACCTTTCACACCTATAGTCTGGAGAGTGGCCTGGGGTCCAATGTCCTCCTGTAATGCAAGGAAAATATAGGAGCAGTGAGAGATGGTTACTGTCTTTCCAGAAAGGGGACTGTTGGCCTTTTGATGTATGTCATTGGCTTTCTTAGAAACTCTTCTGGGTCACAGAGTCCAGGCTGACTGTAAAATCTAGGACTAGTGGGATTATTCTCTGTTTTAGCTCTAGATCTTTGAGGAGATGAAAAGCCAGACACTCAGCCAGACCCTTCAGAGGCATCTGCCATTGAATCAGTAAAGTCCACCACTCTATTCCCATTAGGGATCATAGGTACAGAATGAGAGAGAGAGAGACAACCCTGTAAGTGGTAACAACCCTACCAAACCTCCCTCCCAAACCTCCTCTGGGATGCTACTCAGTATTGGTTCTCCAGCTGTGAGAAGCTAGTCCAGACAGTGAACCCGAATCTGCTCTTTCCTTCGGCAGAGGTGCACCCGTGCCCTTCCATTGGTATCAGCAGTCATCCCTAACACAGGGGAGAGTCAAGCCCTGGCTCCTGCATGCCATTACATTGTCCTTCTGAAGGTGGTTCTCCCACACTGGTATTGAGGGACCTGAGCTGGAGTCTGTAAGGGCAATTGCACTTAAATCAGTTCCAGACCTGGTCAGGTTGGCACCTCTTTGCCTCTGTGATGGAAAAGAGATAGAGGTGAGACTACAGCACCTCACCCCAGGGTTAAAAGCTTCCCTGCCACATGCTCTGTGCCCTTTTCTGGCAATCTCATAAGAGCATATGGCTAAATCAAACTCCCACTCTTCTTGTCAGGTTGGAGATATTACAATAGGAAAGGAGTTGCCAGCAGTAGTTTTCTAGTACCGTTTGTACTGGTCTCACACTGCTCTCACTCACATCCCTCTGGGGTTGCTATGGTCCTGGGAGACCTGGTGACACTGACTCAGCACTTTGGGAAAACTACTTCTGCATGTTGTGATGGTCCTGTAAACAGCAGTGCCAAGAATTGTCTGGTTTTAGTTTCAGGACAGGAAAAGCGGGAGAAACTGTATTTCTCCTCTGCCCATTACTGATAATGAAGTCTGACTTACCTAGCTTCTGTGGTCTCATGATTAGCCATGATCTGTATCACCTGGGACCACCAGAGCTCTCCCATAGGAGATATGTATTATTATACAGGACTAGGTTGTCTGGTACACTCAGACCAGGATGGCAAAGGCACAGGGAGGACTCAGGCTAAATATTAAAAAATGAACTTGAGAGAATTGCAGGGTATTTTCTCTCTTGCCCTGTTTACTTACCCTCCCTGCTTTGCTAAGGAAGCAGTACAGACTGGAATGAGTTTCAAACGCTTTTTGCCCTGCATCCTCCCCACCACTGTCATTGAGGCAATGGGTATTAAAAAAAAGTTTCACTGGGGCAAATCTGGGTTTTTCCAAGGAAAATGTCGTGATGGTAACAGGGGAACTAAAGGACACTGTGAGTTTCTTCTACTCCCTTAGCAGGTCAAGCATGTGGCATTGCTCAGAGACAGGATTTCAGGCAGTAGAGAGGAAGCAGCATTCTGGAGGTGATGCTCAGGAGTGAATCCCTTTCTCTCTCCCTCAGCAGGCTGCAAACCCAGATATTGTCTATTTACAGTATATAGTGCCCCGTCATCTGTCTGAAGAGAAGCAAGCCTCTCTAACACTGAATATCTCCAGAAACAAATTTTCTTCTTCCTCCTTTTCTATTTGGTGTTTGAATGCCAGTAATAGGTCTCATGTTGTACCCATGAGCAGCCAGATGGTGCCTGATGCACATGAGAGAGGAGGGCAGGGGGACCAAAGGATGTGTTTAACAGGCTTCTTGGTGCTAAACATGATGGCAATCCCTTGGTGCTAATTCAGATTTCAGGGGTATTGGGTGCTTTCTGGAAGGTGTAGTAGGCTGAGTTGTAATGTACTGTGGAATTAATGGTGCTTTGTGTTACAAAACCAAACTCAAGAACTTTTGTATATATTTTTTTCTCAGTGATATTAAACGTTTTTCCCTGGTTGTATTGCACTTAGATCTGCTTTCCCCTCCCAGACTATTCCTTCTAACTCTGGTTATCACTGAATAGTGTGATAGAAATGACACTGACCTGAAAAAGACAGGTACAAAGTCTAACTCAGCTCTGAAACTTCCCTGGGCAACCCTTGGCAATCTTCTGTTTGTTTCCTTTGTGGAGATTTGAAGATATTTATTGCTTCAACACTTCCAATTATGACAACCCTCTCCTCTTTGCTTGAAAAGCTTTGAGCAAATTCAACGAAAGATTCTTTGGAAATTACAAAAAAAAAAATTCCCAGGACAATACAGTGGGTTGTAAGGTTCAAGTACTTAATTATATTGAGGAAGGTTGGGCTAATGCTGGAGTTCTGTCAAGGTGGATCAGACCCTTTATCTTGTGAAATTTTGAGCACATCCTTCTATCAAGCACTTAGTAAGCATGTGTGTTTTCTATTTTCCCTATGGTGTTTCTCTTTTGTCTGCCAAGAGGTGAAAGCCAGGAAGTGCAGATATAAGAGGAACATTAAACTGTTGACTAGACACTTGTGCTTGCTAACAGTGGGGTGAGTGGCAGTTCCAGAGTTAAGCTGAACACACATTTTTGGAGGACCTGTGTGTGATGAGAAAGGATTGAGGTTCAGGGCAGAGATGGAAAGACACTTGTCTTGACCCTTAAGTTGGTAGAAACAGGAATCCATGAGGGGGGGAAGGGAGACTTGAAGGCTTGAGTGAAAGATCTAGAAGTAGAGTCCTAAAGACAAGGGGATGCCTTTTGGAGGTTTCAGTGCAAGTTGAAGAGGTAAGTGGGGTTTTGTTTAGCAACTTTGGAGTTTGGACTGAGAGGACTCCTGATGAAATGGAGAAATGGACAAGAAAACAAAAGGAGATGCCCATATAGGACCTTCTGTTTTGAGTTTATCTTCATGTAGTTTCTCCTGTGGTTTGACATACACCAGACACTTTGTTTGGCAGGGGTAGAAAACATAATCATACACATCCTTACAAGTCTCTTTGGCCCTGTGACAGGTCCAGAACTAGGGAGATATATATTCTAGCAAATACAATACTCTGTCAGGTCAGAGCACGTATTTCTTTGCGGTTTTTATTTACTTCTGAGGAAGCAGATAGAAATTTGTCCTCAGGACATGTTGCACTTGTGCATGTTCCTGGCCCCTTGAGGTGAGATGCTGGTAGACTGGAGGTGACTTTGTCACACTTACAAATGGAGAGGAGTGAGGGAGGAGGGAGAAGTGAAAATGTATAACCAGAAGTTCTAGAAAAGTTTTCTATGATTTAATCCTTCAGCCTTCCCACTTGAAGAGGAAATTGCCACCTGATGAGTCTCTTCAGCAAAATCGCTTGGGGCTACAATGCATGGTGAAAGATGGGGTCTGTAGCCAGTGTCACCCATCACACCATGGATGCCTGACTGGGGAGCTGCTGTAGGTGAGGCTCAGCTCAGGCAAGGTTGGCCCTGCAATGCTGCTGAAGGAATGAGGGCTAGACTGGGTCAGACCAGCCTTGCTGCCCTGCCTGTGGGTGAAGCCATGCCCTGAAGGCCACAAGATCTCCATTCACTTCATTCACCCCATGACTGAGTCCTTTTCATGCAATGGGGCTGCCCTGTGTTATGTGAGCCTGGGGTTGGTGACAGCCTCTCTCCTGGGTAAAGCAAGAAGCATGCCCTGGGATGGACAGCTACAGCACTACCCCTGGGGCCATGCCTCTCTTTTCTGCTGAAAGACAGGCCCAAGTTCTGTTGCAAAGGGCTCTGTGGCCATGTCTCAAGATTGTTCAAGGTATCTTCCTGAGGGTTTGGCTCTTTAAACTGGCTTCCTGCGGGTTTGTGGTCTTACAGGTATGAAAGTGGGAGGGGGGGGCAGGGGGGAGAGGAGAGGAGAGAACAGGTAGAGAGGAGGTAAAGGTCAGGATATGATGCTGTCTCTGGGGAAGAAAGTGCATGTCAGGGCCAGCTCAGGAGAAGATGAAGGCCCTGCTCCTTGCCCTGTGATAGTTGTGGGAAAGGAGAAGAGAGAAGCAAGGCAAGAAAAGTAATATAAAAGAAGACCTTTGACCCTATTGGGGGCACTGAGATGGGCACAGGTGGACATGCCTGCACCCAAAGCACCTGGGAAAGCAGGGGCTCAGGGTAGTAGGACCTGGCTCCACATCTCCCCTGATCACAGGTGGGGCAGCCATGGGAAATGTCTCTGGCAGCCCCTCAAGCCATGGTGCAGGGCCTGCCCCACATCAGGGATTTGTGAACCATTCAGAGGGCTGCCACACTGTTTCCCCTCTGCTCCAGCCTGCTCCTCTCAAAGCACCTAGACAACTGCTTCACCCACCCCTCAGCCATATTTATCTCCCAGAGTCCAGGGAGGGAGAGGGGGTGATGCAACACCCCAGCCAACACTACCCAGTGCTGCAAGCAGAGCCCCTGCCTCCCTCCATCCAGTGCATGACAGCCAGATGCCAGCAATGGGCTGAACCTGCCCCAGATCTTTTTCTCACCTTCCCTTTCCCATTGCTGGCTGGGAGATGCTGTTGGGCCCAAAGGGCTGGATGTGGACCCTGCCCATGGCTGTGTGGATTGTGGGGCACAGCTGCATTGCCAAGGGCGATTGTTCCAGCACCTTGCATGGGTAGCATGGCCCTCCTCTGATCACAATGGGAAAGTGGGCATTTGCTGAACCATGACAGGCTTCAGAGGCCAGCTCGATGTGCACTCTGCTATGACACCCACACATGTATACGCATGCACGTACCAGCCCCATATGGACATCTCTCACTTTCCTGCCAATGGAAACTGTCGCCCTTTGTGAACGTGGCTCACTCTGAAGATGCTATCAGGAGGTGGGTAGAGGAGGGCTGAGGCTCCAAGCCTCTTCAGTATAAGCACAGCTCCCTCACCTCTTTTCTCACAAGACCTCTGTGATGTCTCTCCCTGCAGTTATACCACTGAGAGTGCCAGGGCAGAAGTTTTAAATCTGAGGCTTCTGACAGTTTCTCAACCCACAGACTGTCCCATCTCTTGAGTTTGTGTCACAACTCACAGATGACTGGGGAATTATTGCAAAATCTCCCATCTTTCCTGGATTCTGTTTACAGCGGCTAAAATGGAAGGGAGCAGGATAGAGAGTTCTTGGGTTGGAGAAGATAAGGAGTATGGGGTTCCCCATCTACCTGGGAAGGCTGGGAATCCGGCCCTGGATGAGTAGAAGGCAAGGACTAGGTTGTTTCTTGATTCACATGAACATACTTGCATCCATGTCTTCGAGTAGTGAGGCTGACCTATATCAGCCTTAAAGCTGCTGAAGTGCCTCGACTGCCAGGGAGTCCAGACAATGAAAACTGCAGTGCACCTCTGAGGCAGCAGATGCGTCCAAGCCTCACTGGTTGCTACTGAGGACAGTTAAAATGCTTCAAAGTAGCCAGGGGAAGAAAATGCCCAGGGATAAAAAGGAGGACAATAGGTTTCCTGTCTAACTGACACACATCCTGCAGGCATCATTTTCACTGTTCTGGTCCCCTACTCTGAAGTCCAAACTACCCTCCAGGTGTTTGACACAACAATGTCCTAGAGCAAGGCTTGAGCAAAGCATCTTCCATGGGGTGCCTGAGGTTCTCTGCATTCTCCTGTTTGCTCCATGCACGCTTTTCTGGGCTTATACCATCTCCCATTCCCCCCTATAGACACTTTTTTTTTTTTTCCCATGTGTCCTCAATTCTTCTCTTGAAGTAGTGGAATGGGGCAGATCACTGGAAAGGACTACCCAGGTAACCAAGCCCTGTCCCCTGCAGTCACAGGCAGCAATTCAGCAGATCTTCTGGGCAAAGGCCCACAGAATTACCATTTCATGCACAGTGCAAAACGTCTCCCAAGTCCTTGCTTTGCCATGATTCCTGCCACTCTCAATGCGGTATGCTGGTGACACTGTCTGACTCTTTAGAAGACTTATGCAGGCTTTTACAGTGGTACAACATTTCAAGCTTGGTCCCACAAGGTTTGAAATGTTTTTTTGAAATTCCATTTGTTCATGATATACCAGAGTCTGAAGTACTCCTCTGACCCTAGGACGGGCTTGCTTCTCTTCCCACATCCCCAACCCTGCCAGCTGTGGAGGCAGAACAGCTGTGCCTTCATTAAAATGACTAGACCAGTCAGGGACAGTGGTGTGTTGTCTCAGCCTGTGACTCTCTTGTCCTGAAGAGTGGCAACCTAAGCTCTGGAGAAATGGAGAGAGGATCAATGCATTGCCTTCTCTTTGCTGCAGGGATGCTTTTTTCCACTTCCCCCCTCCTTTACACTCCTGTGCCAGCCCCCTTCACCATTGCAAAGCACTGTGCAGAGAGCTCTCTGAGTGCAAAGTGCAGGGGAAGCGGTGGGAGGCCCAGGTGAGGACTGAGAAGGGCGAGAGTAAAAGGTCAGTGACGCAAGCCCAAAGCGATGGCTCTCAGCTGAGCTGCTTTGCTGTTTGTCCGTGGTGTTCTATTTCTACCCACCAGCAATTCACACATCTGGGGACCACAACTTCTTCCACAGCCCACGCTTTTTCTCCCCCCTCGCAGAGGCTGAGGTAACAGAGGGGGAAAGGAGGGAGAGACACTGCACCAAGCTGCTAGCATAATTTCCAAGACCAAAGGGAAAAAAGCCCCAAGCAGTCCTTTTCAACAGCAACCTTCCCTCGGGACACTGAGCATCTCTGATGAAGGAATCTACTGCTTGCAAATGGGGTGGGGAGAGTAGGAAGAAAGGAGGGGTGCTTTCTCTTGGGCTGCAGGGAAGGTCAGCACTGGGGAAATGTACTGACACCCTTGTCCTTGAAACATAAAAGCAACAGTGCAAATTTGCCCTTACAATTAAGGTCTCACCTGGATAGACCATGGCTAAGGGAAGAGACCCTGGTGCCTGTACACGTGTTGTCCTTGGCCTGTTTCCAGGGTAAGCATTTGAGTGGAGCCAAGTGCTTGATGTCCCCTGGTG